CTCACCCCCACCCTGAGCTCTCCCTGCCCCCCACCATGGCTTTATCTGCCTGGTGAAACACTCCTTGCTCATTGATCCCCAGCTCCAGGATTTTTCCTCTGAAGCAAGTTTACCAGGCAGAACCCACCATTGAATCTCCCACCGCCAACCCTAAGCAACACGTCTTATCACTGTGAATCCTTGGCCCGAAGGCCAGTCCCTCTCCTGCGGAAGGCCTCAGGGCAGGGCAGGCTCCTTGACCCAGTGCCACACGCCCGAGTGACATTGACGGAGGAAGCATTCTGTCCTTCCCGGGACCAGGGCTAGACTTAATAGAGCTTGGAAGAAACCACACAGCCATGGTGAAAAGAAATCAGTAAAGGTCTATTCCTTAGCTTGCACTCTTTCTTAGCCTATTTACAGGAAAAGTTAAAATGTATAAATAGCAGTAATGATAACGTTTATTGAAGGCTCACTATTCGTCACGTACTTTTCTAAGTTCTTTACATATATTATCTCATTTCGTCCTTCTGAGAGTCCAATGAAGTGCTGTCATTACTCTCTCCCTTTTTGAGGTGAGAAAACTCAAGCACAGAGAGGTTGCGACACTTGCTCAAAGTCACAGAGCTAGTAAGTGACTGAGCCAGACTACAAGCCCGACAGACAAACTACAGAGTCAGATCTACCCCACTCGATTTCATTAGCCCAGAAGATTGTTTCAACCCTCCCCGGCCTATGCGTGAGAGTACAGTGTCACAGCAGGGCGTGGGCCTGGGCAACCAGCGCTGGGCTCTAATTCAGCGACTAACTGGTTTAGAAATATGTAAACGGGGCGGCTGGGTTACATGAGTTGAAGGTCCTTTCTCCTTAAACTTAGACTGTCTCCTTACACACCTGCCACTCTGCTTTCTATCCCACCGACTTCACATTCTGTCCCAGTATTGTCATCCTTCTGCTCCGACCAACCGCACATTCGCAAAGATCATTGTCCTGTCTCCTTCTCGGCAGAACGACTATTGTCCCGAGCATCCACCAGCCTCTCTCCCGGTTGTATCTTCTTTCATTTTTATCATTACCATTAACACACTTTACAGGATCTAGTTATTACCAAGGTACAGAAGCCATACAAATTCTCCTGTTGAGTATAGATTCCATGAAAATCTGACAGTGCATTTATTGAAATCAGCTGCCCATTCCTGTAGCTTAGGAATAAGGATTTTTTTGCTGGTTCAATGTAGCTCAAGTTTTATTAGGACAAATACCATGAAAACAGGGAGGTTCCACTGGCAAAAGCCATTAAACCAGCAGAAACCAACTGTATTTAAGGAAGAAAACGATTCCTCTCCATTTCTTTTTCTTTAAAAATTCTTTCAAAAGAGGGGTAAAGAATAAAAAATCATAAATTGTTACACAGCAATAGTAAGTGGAGAGATTACGCAAAGAAACCTACCTTAGAAGGCGATCAAAGTAGTATCTGAGGATGACACTCGCAGTTATTCCTTTCTCTGAAAGCTGCTGCATCTTTAAAAATGACCTCACACTCAACCAGCCACTGCGAGCAAGAGGACAGTCACAGGGATTATTTATCAGTGATACGGCTCATTGGTTGATTAAATTTTGTTGTCTCTCTCAAGATAGGTTAAGCCACGCGGCAGTAACAAAACACTCCAAGTCCTAAAACAACAATCGTTTTCTCTCTTGCTTATGCTTCATGCCCATGGCCATTTCCTTTGGGGGTCAGCAGCTTCTTAACTATGGGCCCAGGCTGATGGGGCAGCCACCATCTCCAAGCTCACCAGTGATCATGGCAGAGGACAGAGAGTTCTGGATGGCCTCCAACCAGCAATCACATACCCCAGCCCAGAAAGCTCTCAGCCTGACGGCAATGCCAGGTTACCACTCGTCAGTCAGACCGAGGGATGTGGTCCACCAACCACAATGGGCCAGGAAGTGGAACGGTACCAGGTGTCTTGGGGGGGGGG